TTCCAAATTACAGGACACCCTTTGATTTTTAAGTTTAATTTGGAATTTAGTTTTGCTTTCTGCAAGCAGGCAACATGGATAATTTTTTAATGCAGAATATAAGAAAGTTCATCAGTTTTCCTTCGAATGCTATTTCTATTGAGTTGAAGTTAGTTTATTGTCCTCGTAACAAATTTGTTGACATGAACTTGGGACTGCAGAACATGATGCAGCGGCTACCCCGTATGTTGTAGTAGGACCATATTCCAGTACTGCACTTACTATGGTAAAAGAGAGGTTGCCAGAGCCCCAAACTGGTTGGATTTCTACCTGTTGATCTGCAGAAGTTATTTGATATCCTGTCTACCACTGTGTGGTAAGCACTGGAGGCATTCTCCTATCTGCCACCCGAGGACACGCCCTATAAGGGTTACAGGCGACCCTCCCCCCAAGGATTGCATCAGCCTCTCAAATATAAAAGCAAAAATAATGGTCATTGGTTGTAATCAGTTATTTTGTGAGGTTGCATATGTAATTAGTAATGTCTGAATATTAAAAGTATCAAATTTTATTTCATGACTATTTCTTGGTAACAGAAGTCATAATGTCAACTAATAATTTTGAAGTTAAAGTTGTAGCTAGTGATACTGCACATCCCTATACCATCATCAAGACAACCTACCATTTTTAGATAGAGGAGTGCATCACTGAGCCTTAGACAAATGTTGATATGAACTCCAATGAAATGTGTAAGAAACTCTAGAAATATATCTGGTTGTAACAGAAGTTTTCTTCCAGAAAACGTTCTTAACAAAATTAGAAAAAAAAAAGAAAAAGAAAAAGAAAACATGAAAGCAGTATCTTCAGTGTGGATAGTAATCACCACTCAAATCTGTGATTTTTTGCCAATGTTTTGGTAATTTTTCAAAGCCTTTTTGGCCCAGAAACTTGGCGGCTGCGGAGTTCAAAAACAGAACAACTTCATTTCAGATGCCGTGCAGAGTGGAGGGTAACACCAGCAAGATGTAGCTGCGAGAAACGGTAGAAGTCCGAAGGAGCGATGTTGAGGCTATATGGTGGATGTTTCAAAAGATCGCATTCGAGTCCGTGCAGAGTCCAGCCGGTGAGTGCAGACACATGGTGGGCTTGAATTATCTTGGCGGAACATTTCCTTGATAGCAGTGTCAGTACAGACTACCATCTCACTGTACGCCTTACTGTCAAGGGTTTTACCTTTTCCAGATACTCATTGTGGATAATACCATAGCAGTCCATTAAGATCCAAAGAATGATCTTTTCGTTTGTCAAATTGGTGCTTTGTGAAGCTGCCAATGTGCCCACCAACCCTCTTTTCGGCCTGTGTTGTTGAAGTAAATCCACTTTTCATCACAAATGACGATCTGGTCCTGAATTTCGTACTTGCGTTGATATTCGAGCAGATTAGTGCAGGCCCGGACGCATTTGTCCTTATCTGCTTGGGTTAGCTCATGCGGCACCTAGCGATTGAACGTGAACATCAAAGTTATGCCATGAATAGCACGACTAATGGACATGGCACTAATGTCGAACTCCATAACAAACTCTCCAGTGGTTGCATATTGTTCTTCCACAAGTTCTCGCAAGCGACCCTCATCAACATCAGTAGGCTGGCCAGAGTGCTGAGCTTCTTGAATGTCATAGTGCTTATGTTTGAACTTTCGGTACCAAGCCTTCACAGTGTCATATGATACAACATATACTACATTAGTACCTAAATCTGTGCACATGATTTGGCGACATTCTGTAGCTGACTTTTTGCAACAGAACTGGAAGTAAATGATGATTCTAATCTGGTAGTGTGATAGTGCCATTTCAGATACCTTGTACTTAATGATAATGATATTTTTTTACAAATTTCTAAAGCAAGTCTGTTTCTTTCAAATGTGAAAAATCATTTGAAAGAATATGATTAAACACACCATTACAAACTAACTGTTTGCTCCGAAGATAGTTACGGTGGTGGGAACTTATGAAAACACTTAATTTAGAAAAGGCTAAACAATTTCTCACCTTTTGTTGTAAATTCAGTTTCAGTTTAGCTGAGAAAAAATCTTGCATGAAATGTCGGGTATGTTTACATTTGCTGAATGGATACCTTGAATACTGATGCTATAAATTAACAAAATATTGGCTTGACTGTACTTGTGAACTGTTGTCTGTGTTAAATACTGGTGAAGATCTTTTTTATTCATGGTTATAGCAAGAGATGAAATTTGAGCTCAGAAACTAAAAAGGAGAGCATGAGTGTGGAAGCATGGTGGATTTCTCCAGCTGGATAAAGTTCAGAAGTTTTCTAGGAAGATTTTAATCTCTATTTTTTCTTTTTTTTTTGGATCAAGAGAAGCTATTTCTTATTGATTAATTGTTACACTGCACTATGATTAATAAGTGTTGACTCATCACCAGCAGGTCTTAAATAGTATCCAGGCAAACTCTACAGAATATTAGCTTACAAGACACTTACCTCATAGCTGCATAGATTTTAACTTTTCACTTACTTCCAGAGACATTAGCCTTGTCTTTAAGAGACCTTTTTTGGTTAAAAAAACTGAAGTAGCACTTGTGTGACTTTCATTACAATGATGCTGATTGCCGTAGTTGCCTCTGAGGAATGATTTCAGGGCTGTCACAGAATGTATATTTTTCATGTTGGAATTTGATACCTAACTGGTAGAAATGATAATTGCATTGATGTTAGTGGGAACTTCATAGAAAACAGTATATCATTTTAGACATTTTTCTTTTGCATATGTGTTAAGCTTTATTTTTATTGAAGGCTCTGTACAGCAGTGATCTGTTTATTATTTGTTACAATCAATTTCAAACTCTATATAATTTTTTTTCAAACGCCGCAATTAATATTTTTATCAAAGAATTTTTGAAAATATCCCCTTTCCTCTCCCTGAATCCCTTTTTTGCACTTAAATAATTTAAACTTAAACCTACACTGCATAGTATAGTAATAAGCAAAGATTTACTGCTCTCTTTGAACCAAGGGTATGGGTTTGACTTTTGTTTAAGGGCTGGCTGTACGTGTGTTTCCTTCCTCCCTTTCATGGATATATTACTGTACTCTTCGTGGCGCACCCCAGGCAATATTGTTGGTAATGTCTTTTTGAGAAGTGTCTGGTTATTGGACTGAAAAAAGTGAGTGAATGAATGAATAAATAAATATTTAAAAGGATAGAGAGAATTAATTCAAGTTATACCTAATGATTAGAAAAAGCATTAATTTCACATTTATGAGGTTAAAATCTTGTATTTGATGTGCAGTTTTATGTATACAAAAATGCTTTAAATGAGGAATTTGAAATAGAACTTTTCAAGTTTTAAACATTGCATAGTATTTATGATAATTTGTTTGTTATTTAGTAGTGAGTTAAGCCCCTTTTTATATTAACAAGAATGTTTTGTGTGTAGACTGTCATATTTACTGTACAGAAAGTGAAGGCTACATGGAGGCTCCATTGCTTCGTTTGAAAGTAACATTTCATGAGTTTATGACTAATGCATTTTTCTTTTAAAGAACTCCAGGCTGTGTTTGATGAATCTGGTCACAAGAAGTATTGCTCTTAACCTGTCAGAAACAACATTATTTTTAGTCTGCATGAAAAGCATTTTTATGTTGATACTTATTTTATGTTGGGAAAGTCATACAGAAATAGGTATTAGTATGCAAACCCATTTCTGCCTGATTCAGCATGAAACAGGTTCTGCTTTCCGTTTTCAAAAATTCATAATCACATTGTAAATTGTCTTGTTTGTAAAGATCACTGTATGATTTTTGCTGAGTTGCATTAGATATGAATACATACAGGTTGTCCAGATTTCTCGGTAATGATGAAAGAGATTGTTCTATCACTCTTTTATGGATTATTGGAAATTTTTTGCTAAGCATGCAGAAATTCTTCAAAAAATATAATCTGTACAAAGAAGTTTTAATCAAAAATACCCATAGAGTTTGTATATGTGATTTTCATACCTCTGGAGGTTTGCTCTAACAATATCAATTAGCCTTAAGGGCAGAGTGGATGGAACAAGAATGCTTGTTCATTATATCCAGGAGTTTAAGTCGGGTTTGACTATATGTACAAATTACTTCATTTTCTGAATAGGTGAATGGGCATCTTTTAGTAATACATACAGATATACCTTTCAGATTTGATGAAGAATATAAGAAAGAAGCCATGTGTGGCTGGCTCTATTACTGTTTAGTGATCTACTGATCAAAATTTGTTGACGGTGTAAAACTGGATCATATTTTTATGTGAAACAAAGTTTATTAAACAGTGGCCATGTTTTTTTTATTAAGAAGTGTGAGGATGGCCCATATCACACATGCATTTGTTTCACATAAACAACTGTTTCAGACAGTTTTTCTGCCTGATTTACTATTGAAAGAAAGACAAGCAACTTTTTCTTTCCTTTCGAAAAAAATTGCAAGTTGTTTTCAACCAATCAGCTATCAGCTTGTTTGTGATGAAGAACCAGTTTCCCCTTTACATGTTAACTGTATACGAGCCAGTTGCCCTTAGAAAGTCTCCCACGAAGGCATCCCTCCCCTTAGGCAGATATCCCTAGTGTCCTTTGCCATAATTAAATACACAACACACACAACCTTTACATGTTAAACCCAAAGTGATTTGTGGTGATTCGCTGTTGTGACAAAGCAGAAAAATTGTTCCAAACAGTTGTTCTTCCAAAACTAACAGATGTGTAATAGCAGCCTTAGAGAACCTGAAAAACTGTGGCAAGGAATTATTTATTTAATGTACCAAGGAAATGCATCAAAATCTGTCTGTTATAGGAACACTAAGCACAAAATAACGTATTATGTAGCTAAAAATGCAAATTATGTACATTTCTGTGGAATTCTCAAATCTAGTATCTGCTATTAAATACATCTTTGCAACACTTTTAAACTGACCTGTAGCGTAACTGAAATTTCAGTTTTGGTTATAACCTTTACCGTCATGTTTCAGATGGTATCACTCAAATATGACAAGAGCTCAAGCAGAAGAGATGCTAAAAAGAGTGCATTACGATGGAGCCTTTTTAGTTAGGCCTAGCGAGAAAGAAGAAAATTGTTTTGCTATTTCATTTAGGTAATATTAATTTCTATTGATATTTTACTTTAAAGAATGTATTTGATTTAGTATACATTTTTATAGAAATTCTAAGATTTAAGCAAACTAGATGGATCTCATTTAATTGAAACTAGATTATACAGATTAATTTATGCATACTTCTATTAATTTGTAGAGGTTTATTAAAAATTAAAAAATTCAAATATTGTTTGACTAAAAATGTGTCTTTGCAGATATATTGAAATTAGTAGATGGAAAATTCAAAAATGTGCAGATATGCAGTCAGTTTTAATGTACGAATATTTTACAAATAAATATGTATGTTTTACTCTTTCTTTAAAGGTATGTATTGTAGTCAGGACTGTTGCAGTTTTATGCGAAAGGTATTTGACACATGCATACAAATTCTAGTGATTTTTGACTACTAATTTTAAATATGCAAGTGTGTATTGCATGCTGAAAGAAGCTGTACTACCATTTTTTTTTAAATGAACAGCTTGTTGAATTGCACATGTTCTAATTAGAATGTGCCTGTATGTTAGTTTTAAAAAAATTGACATAAGAATTAAACCTAATTTATGAATTTGCTACGTAAATTAATTTATTGAAACTTGATTCCCCCCACCCCAATTATAAGTACCTGGTTTATTATCTACTAACATCCGTCGTTCATAAAAAAAATGGTCGTTTGCATTGCATTCACTAAGTGCCAGCATGTTTAAATGACAGTAGAACTGTGTTTCCGAGTAATGGTACTGATATTTTTACTAGGTTTCTAACTATGTGGAATATTTTGTTGTAGCCAAAAACTTTGAAATCCAAAACGTTGGCACTTTTTTATGTAGTTTCTTGGATTAGAGAATAAAAATGTCATAGCTACAGTAATATTTTTCAGATCTATTCAAACTAATCAAAGTTGCAGAATCATGATTGTAGAAATAATCAACCATCATTTAGTCAAGTTGAATGAAATTTTAAAAATCATAGTTGATAAAAAGGATTATATGTGTAACGAGGTAAATAAATCTTCTGTTATTTACAGGATTTTTATTGCTAATATTTTATGGGAAAAAAATTTGGATGGCGTGAGAGAAAAATTTGAAGCTAGGAAAGCAAACGGTAAACTTTTAGTCTTGACGTCTGTGTATATCATAGCTTTTCAATTGTCATAAATTATTTGAGGAATTCTTCCAATTGCAAAGTCCTCGCAATCTTTATATTAATTTTTTTCTCTTTTGCTGTAGTTATTGTAATGAAAGTGCTGTAAAATTTTCTGAAAATAATGTTATTCTGAATAAATAACAATAACATTGCCATAAAACCTAACATTTTGGAAATTTTGGCACAAAAATTAAACTTTTGCCCCAACTATTGGAACTAATTGAATTCAACTTCCTTAGATGTCAATTTATATAAATAAAAAAAAACTAGACATTGTAAATTGAGCATTACTGAGATCTAAATAAATTTATAATTATATATTTGTACATTGTACTATGCTTACTCTCATATTTTCCTCTCTTTTCCTACCAATTTTACCACTTTGAAAACAGAAGGGGAGATTATTTGTTTCAAAGGATTTATTAATTTCAATAATATTTTTTTTTGGTTACAAAAAGTAATTTCCTATTTGTGCATACATTTTACATTGTTATCATAAGTCAGAACATTCTAAATCATATGCTGGAAATGTAGGGGGAAAATATGTAAGGAAGGAGAGCTATATGAGTAAATACTGCATTATAAAAAAATGTCCATACTAAAGTTATAGAATTGAATGCTTTTGTAGCTTATGTTTCTTTTCCTATAACCAGTATTTTCTTAATGTATTTTCCATTAATTCATAGGGCGGAAAACAAAATAAAGCATTGTAGAATAAAATTGGAAGGCCGCCTTTTTACTATTGGAACAGCACAGTTTGAAAGCTTAGTGGAATTAGTTTCTTATTATGAGAAACATACTTTATACCGTAAAGTGAAATTGAAGTACCCTGTGAATGAAGAAGTAGTTCGCAGAATTGGTGGAGTAAGTTTCTGTTTTAGTTACTAAATTTCTAAAAGCATTTTAGACAGTAATATGAAGTTTTATTTATAATAGGAAAAGCAGCAATTGAGTTTAATGTGTATCTAAAAGCAATTTAATATGTGAATTATTTTTAAGTTGTTAATATTATGTGAGATGATTATTTCTAGAAACACACAGACTTCTTTATGTAGTGTATTGTTACCTGTTGTTTGAAACATGATTATTACTTAAAATGGTTAAATTAGCTGAAGAGGATAATTCTCAGATTTTAATAGGAAATGCAAATAAGGTGAACAATAGCAAAGAGAGCCAGCAATAAAATCAATAGCAAGCTGATACGAGGGATCTTGTTAACTTACATAAAAATGGAGATTTGCAGACCTAAACAATATTTCCCACCTTTTTTAAGCTTGTTTTGATAATGATAAAACTTCAAATATTCAGAAAATAATGAATCTTAATTATGACAAAGGATAAATGGAGCTAATTTCTAATTTTTGTGGTTGTATATTATATAGAGAATATTGTATATTGACTCTCTATATATAGAGAGAATGTTGTATATTGACCATAAATTTACTTTTTATAGTTTAAAATACTATATTAAAATAATTTATTAATATATAATAAATTGTTTTGATATGTTGCTATATGTATATGTTATTTAAATACTGTGGTTTTCATATGTTGTGTAAGTGTAATCTGTGGAGTATTATTAAATGTGTTTGAGGCAATTTTAAAAATGATTGCGAAGTTGTACTGTGTGAATTTCTCTAGATGCTTTATTATTGTAAATACAGTGGTGCCTTCATATCTCTGGGTAGTATTTCCAAGACTTATACATAAAATTATGAATAATATCAAATGCTACATAAGACAAGATATTTGTGCAACATAGATAATTACAGCTAAGTTTAACAAATTATGCCAATAAGATATTGACAACATTAAGTAAAGCAATAATAATCTGTGCACTTAGGTCATAGTATATTGTATTACTAAGTAAACTAATATAAAATATATAGTACATTATAGTATACCCTGTCATACCTTTGAATGTAAGAATTCTATAATGTGACTATATTTGAATGTAAGAATTCTTACATTTTAATATAACCCATAAAGGTTGAATGAAAAATGAAGAAATATAGTTCTGTGCCACGTAACATACTGTTTCAAAGAAATAAATGTCATTCATTCTCTTAGAATCAATAGCATGCTAGTAGATTCCAAGCCTTCGTAGCATCATCACTCTTACATTATGGGGCCTTTCTGTGATAAATGAGAACTTGAGGAGAGGGAGAGTTGCAGTAAAATATTACTAATGAGCATAAGGTAAATGCTAGCAGAAATAAAAGCAAATTAGGAAAATATATATATATAAATTCAGGTACAGAAATAAAGCTGTCTCTTTGACCACTGATAGCTGACGTTCCCTATTTTCATATTTATGACTGTTAAGCTTTGATGTGAGATCAGAGTTTGAGGGTTTCTTGTAAACTGCGAATATGCATAAGGCTCTGCTATGAACATTTCCATTTCACTATATTTAGTTATATCAACTGAAAAGTTTGCATATAATGGGGAAAATAGCATTGACATTGTTGAGTTGTTGTATTTTAGATGTAATTCTTTGCATTTCAAAATCTGCAATTTATAAATTGTACTGCCCTAACACATAGCTACTGTGTCATTACAGGGACACAGCTGTATTTGTAAAAGTTCTTTCTTTAGTGACTTTTTTAAAGTATAATAGTTGAGTAATTTAAAGCGTTCTTGGATAATTTTCAAAAAATCATACCAATATTTAAAAATGAAATACTAATATGAGTGAAGTAAAAATGACAGCTTCTAAAAGCTTTTTGGCTAAAATTACCATTAGTGATGATTTAAAAGTAAAATAAGTAATGACGTAGCCAAGTAAATAAATTCAGATTTAGACTCATAAGGGGTTGTTTGTCTGAAGCTGTGCCATTAGTTAACATCAGGGAGTCTTGTAAAAATCATTTTTGTTCTCATTGATATCCAGAAGTCACCCTTTTTCTGTTATGATAAGTGTAAGAGATTATCATTCCAGATAAAGTAGAGTAAGAGGCTTTTGTATTAAAAAAAAATTACTGTTATACATTGAAGATATTGGTGTGATATATATGTATATATACTGTTGCATTATTTTCTGACATCAGTTGTTACATTATTTTCTTCCTTCACGTTCGTACAGGGTTCGTGTGGATTTGGAGTGAATAATGACAACACTTTTTGATGAAGTATCGAAACACACTTTATTGGCCGGTATTAATCAGGACAGCTCCAAAATCTCATTTACCGTCATCGAACTGTTATCAGCGCCCTGACACGATCAGCGACACAGCTTTCAGGTTATCAGGCTAGCATGGTGGAGACAGCTTCACTGCAGAGCACCAGAGTACAGCTTCCGACTCTGCTTGGTCGTTCTCGGAACTTCACATACTCTCAAAACTCTCCACGCTACAATTCGTGATGCACTTGACGACACACAGAGTACAGCTCCCGACTCTTCGGTTCAGTCGTTCCCGGAGCTCAACACACTCTCGATGAGGCACTAACCGCGATACACTGAAAGACTCTTTCGATGCACTCGATGACCCACTCGGCACTCACTACCCAGCTGTCTACTTAATCGACTGCACATGGACTGAGTAACTCGAGACTGTCTCGCACTTTGACTCTTTGTGAACCAGCAGGGCTTATATAATTTTTGGCTTGCGTTTGAGAACATTCTGGGCTAAAGAATTCGTTTTAGAAGGTTCTCCATCCATCCATGCCATGTTGCCAATTTTTCTCTAAATGGGCGATTTCTCGTCAAATGTGGCAACCCTGCCTTCCCTTGCTATTTTATAGCAATCCGAAACCTGCTTTGCAAGGAAGCCATCTTACCTCGCCTTGACATTTCATAACACTTCCCCCTCCCAAGGACAGCAAGTCCCAGGCAGTACAACCCTTGGTCAAAAGCCAAATTCGATACAAACAAAACATTATAAAACAAACAAATACAGTCAAAAGTCATTAATTCGGACACCCATAATCCAGAATGATCTATAATCCGGACCTCGAAGCTAAAAACTTTCTGCGCATGCGCCGCATTGACACATGCGCATAGGCGTTTACGCATGCACCTAAGACCTTTACGACTGCGCATATGCATGTGCACATGCGTTTTCACGAGCGCGTTTAATGTATAACGGACGGTATAAGCTAAAATTATCTAATTATCTATTTCAGTTAATGTTGACGATTGTGTTGTTCCTTAATCTTCGAACTGGATCTGGCTTATTATTTTTTGCAGACTGTAAGAGCAATTTTATAAAAGTAAACTTGAACTTTCGATTATGTCAAATAGAATTTCCGATGCTGGAGCTCCCAAAGGATCTACAAAGCGAAAGTATGTTTCGATGTCCATCAAACAAAAAGTGGAATTGCTGCAAAAAATGGATAAAGACATGAAGAAGGTGACAGAGAGGTTAGTGAAAACAAAAAAATTTCGATTGACAAGTTAGTCGGTATTCTCGGCACAGCAATTACAGGACTTGAACAGCGGAACTTTGTAACTGAACAAGAAATTATGTCTGTTTATAGAATTAAAGAGAAAGTATTAGCACATGAAACGAAGCAACTTAAACAACTTACATTGAAAGAAATGTTTAATAAAGTAAACAAATAAATATTAAGCTCTTTTTTTTTTTTTTTTTTGTAAATTTTGATACCCTTTAGATCATAATTGCTCTTTATTTCATAAATTACGGTTTCATATTTTTAATTTTAGAATTTCTGCATGCCATTTTACGAGATTTAAACTGATGATCTATAATCCGGAAAAATCGATAATCCGGAATCGCCGAAGTCCCGACGAGTCCGGATAAACGACTTTTGACTGTAACATAACTAATGATGCAAATGTTTATACGATATACAAGTTATAAACACACATTAAACACATAACAATTTGAAATTATCTACATATAAGTTCAGAATGAATTGCAGTCTCAGTCTTTCCATTATGTTATACCCGGATCAAATACTTTTCCACTGTAGTTCTCAGGTGCATATCACAGTCTGAAAATTCAGTTCTTTGTGACTTTTCATCCACTGGAAGATCTAAAACAGTTCATTCACCACTCTGTAGATCATTCACAGCATGCATATAATTCACCTCGGTATCTTTAGCAGATGGTATATGCTTATTTACCTTCATTTCCTGAAAGCCAGTTCCAAATTCTGCATCAGAGTCATGAACTGAACCCGATTCTTTACAAACACAAGTATCCTGGTTTAGAATCAAGTGCGTGTCTGCACAACCTGCATTATCAGACACACACAGTTTGCAAAATGAGTGAATTTTCTCGCAATACTGGAGCGCTCTGTGTAAGCTGTGCATAAGTTTTTTCCATCTCAATGTCACATGAATTTTCAGATGGTTCAGTACTTGCTAACTGCGACTTTGTAACTTCATTATCAGTTTCTACCATCTTGATAGTCGCATTTTCACTTTCTTCTATCTCTACTTCAGGCACATAAGAATCAAAAACTTCTTTCCCATCTTTCATTTCTTGATCTTTTTTATCTGTCTTTAATTTCGTTAGATGTTTCGTCCTCTATTTCTTGATTTTTCTCAGACACTTCACCAGCTACTTCATTCATTTCTCCATATTTTGATTCTTCCAATGCTGCTTCTATCATTTCCACATCTTCTTTTATGGTTCCAGTTTCTTCTGAAAGCTCCACTTTCATCTGTTGGAGTTGCTCTTGCACCTTTTCTTGGCTGACATTTATTCCTTCTCGTCGGGCTTTCTTCTCTTCCAGTCTGGCTTCCATCTCTTTCGATCCAGCTTTGATCTTAGCCCTCATCTCTTCATATGCAGCTTTCATCTCAGCCCTCATCGTATCATGTTCGGCTTTTATCTTGGCTAAAATGTCCATCAAAGTCTTCATCTCCTCCCCCATGGCTTTCCTCTGCAGGTGGGTGATTGGCATTCACTCATAAATCCCACTTCTGCCACTAGTTGTAACATTATTTTCTTCCTTCGCGTTCCTACGGGGTTTGTGAGAGTTTGGAGTGAATAATGACAACACTTTTTGATGAAGTATCGAAACACACTTTATTGGCCGGTATTAATAAGGACAGCTCCAAAATCTCGTTTACCGTCGTCGAACTGCTATCAACACGCTGACACGATCAGCGGCACAGCTTTCAGGCTATCACGGTGGAGACAGCCTCACTGCAGAACACGAGAGTACGGTTCCCGACTCTGCTTGGTCGTTCCCGGAATTCGACGTACTCTCGAGACTCTCCACGCTACAACTCGCAATGCACTCGATGACACACAGAGCACGGCTCCCAACTCTTCTGTTAAGTCGTTCCCGGAGCTCAACACACTCTCTTGACGAAGCACTAACCATGATACACTAAGAGACTCTTTCGATGCTCTCTGCACTGGCTGCCCAGCTGTCCACTCGATTGACTGCACACAAAATGACTATCTCGAACTTTGACTCTCCGTGTACCAGCAAGGTTTATATAGTTTATTTCTTGTGTTCGAGAACATTCTGGGCTAAACCGGTATGAATTCGTTCCAGAAGGTTCTCCATCCGTCCATGGCACATCACCAATCTTGTCACCAAATAGGCGATTTCTCGCCAAATGGGGCAACCCTTCCCTTGCTATTTTATGCAACCATAAACCTGCTTTGCGGGGAAGCCATCTTACCGTGCCTTGACATTCCGTAACAAGACATATGACCACTATAGCACATTTCTACATTCTAAATTTCACTTTGGATTTCCTGGGAGATAATTTCCTTTATTTTCTCTCTTACTATATTGAATTGTATCTATACAATACACACATGCATACATACAAAAAATCAATAAATTATAATACATTAAAATTGTCTTATTTTCTAAATACTTCATTGAAAAACAAACTTAATAAAATACAATCTAAATAATTCATAACATAAAATGAAATCAGCTGTTTTATATAATAAATTAATTATGGTCTTTAGTTAAGCATAAATCCTAAAATAAGTAAAACAAAAAAAAATAATCCTATAATAAAGTAGTCATCCATGATTGATTTAGCCGGGTTCTTTTTCCAGGAAGACGTAATAAACCTTACAGCCATTTCTCTGACATTTTATGAACTGACTAGAAAAATAGATAAGGTTGTTAAAAAATGCATGACATCCATTTTTCATTTTTATGAGGAAGTTGTTAGTTTTTTAATTCTGCATAAATGCTTCTTAAGCTAACACATTCCTTACCTTTTCAGTCATAACTTGCTATATCATGCATGGATCATTGTCATGTCTTAACTCAAATTTTATTTACCCTGAAAGTAAAATTTGTCTACAGTATAGTTGCAAATTGCAGATTTTGAAATGCAAGAGATTGCATCCAAAATACAACAGCTCAGCAAAGTCGATTTTCCCATTATACGCAACCTTTTCAGCTGATATAACTAAATATAGTGAAATGGAAATGTTCATAGCAGAGCGTTATGCATATTTGCAGTTTACAAGAAACCCTCAAATTCTGATCTCACATCCCAGCTTAACAGTCATAAATACATCAGTAGGGAATCTCGGCTATCACTGGTCAAAGAGACAGCTTCTACCCTGAAAGAGCTTTTTCTTCAACATTTTCATTAAACAAATGTAGTTTTTTGGAGGTAGAAATTATTTAATTTTCAGTAAATAAATTTAATTACCCCTGTAAGGTTAACAGCTTTTTTCATATAAAGTTACCTAATGTGAGTTTTGGGACACTGCTAAGCATTTTCATATTTTTTCTCTGTGACTCGAGTGGTTGCATCTAGAAGTATGTTGTAAGTAGAGGTTTGCAATCAAAATGCGCTAACAGCTTATTCTCATTAACCTGCATCTTTCAAGAATTTAACAAAGATGGGTGAAATTTTCTTGTATGAAGTGGCTTTTGTATAATGTATTAGATAGGTAGCCAGTGGTGTAGGAAAGCTTATTTCTAAAAAAATGTTTTACATATCTTAATCTAATCTCTGTGCTGAAATTTTAAAATGGATATTCCATATTATCTGTGCATATCTTGTCAATGTTTGTAAATTTAATGGTTAGCAGTGAATTTCAATACTGCTTTTGTTAATCCTTTCCATGATTGTATAGCTATTTAACCAGTAATTTAATCTTTGGTATTGGTGGTTAATTTTTCTATTTTGGAGAGAAAACTAAGTCAGCCATGTAATCTAGGCGTGTATCAACTTCATGTACTTAGATTACAAATTAAATCCTTATATTAGGAATGTAACTTGTAAATAATGTTGAGAAAAGTAATTTTTCCAACATTACTGAAAATATATCAGCTGAGGCAGTGCTGAGTTCCTGGGTTAAAGCTGAACTAAATTAAGCTTAGGATTGAACAAGGCTTATATCTTTTGAAATGATCATTTAGGTGTGCTATACTGACAAATGTGCTGTAGAAAAGGGCTGTCTATAAGTGTGCAGAATAGATAAAAGTTTATAATCAATTGAGGTGTTAATAAATTACCAGATAGATAGAGTCAGAAAATTTACCCAAATTTGTCTAATTTCTCTGTTTTAACACTTTATATATAAGGTAAAGTAGTATGTTTCCTTTCAAAGTTTATATTAGCATATTAAACGAATTGTTATTTTCAGTTAGCAGTAAAGTACTGCCTGCTGATGAGAAAATGCCAGTTGGCAATGCTCATTTATCATTGATATTATAAAAATCTATTTTACATCAGAAAAGCACAGTTAACCATTAATTTTATCTGGACTTCATAACAATATTTTGCAAAATGTATTATTATATCCTGAATGTTATGAATAAAATAGGTTTCTGACATATTCTAAATTTGTTGATTGTAGAATATCTAATTTTTTTTTTCAACTGTTCTCTAGTCCAGAATAAAACTGCTGAGGCAAGGTTTTGTAGTGACATTTAGATTGCATGCCTCTCTGTATATTTATTTTAAATTTTGTTCAAACAGTAATATTATAATAATATGGGATGGCATCGTTCATTATAATCAGATGACGCGACAAGCTGTGAAAATAAATCTTTTACTTTTCCGATGATAGAAGGCAGACGATTCCGCCATTAAGACGAGGACGCGACTGAAAGATGTTTACATGTAAAAAACAGTCGAATCTATTCATCTGTAAATAATCTCATCTATTTCCTTCTACGTATGTACTTACTTTGTAGTTTGTAGCAACTATTCATGTTTCATTAAATATTCAAGTTTTACATAAATCGGACTAGTTTATTAGCCCCTAGACAGCCACCTAAGAAGTAAGTTTACAAACATCATATTCCTAGACAGTAAATACCGATTCTACACATATATATATATATTTCTGCTTTTAACATTTTATGTTTAGAAAAGCATAATCAAATACCATTAAAATCTGAATGCTTTTCTGAAGAGTTTTAATTTTATTTAGCAGTAAATTCAGTTTTATGACTTAACAGAAGATTTCATTTTTATTTAAGTAGACTAAGTGAAATATTTTTGTTTTAAAAAAAAATTTAACTTCTTGAGGGGTCAGACTGATCTGAAATTTTCAGATCACAATTTTTTTTAATATTTAACTTTTTTATTTTTATTTTCTTAGGAGCCAGAGTATTCACCTGTGTATGGTCCAGCCGGAATGTATATGGATCCAAACTGCTTCATTTCCAAGGTTTGTAGCTTTTTTTCTTTCAGTTGGGTAAACAGGGTTCGTACGGTCCTTAAGAGTCCTTAAGGTTTTTGGAATCCATTTTTGGTCCTTAAAAGTCCTTAATTTTGGCCAAAATCGGCAGAAGGTCCTTACTTTTAATCATGTGAAATTTCTGTCTGTTTTTACGACTGCCATTTTGAGTGTGAATTAGCAGTTTGGAGGTATATTTTTGGCGATTCACAGATAAATATGGTTATTTGAATGGGGATGATTTGTCCTATTCTAATGGTGGGAACTCGAGTTTCTGAGAAAGAAGTGAAACCAGTATTTCGAATTATTTCACTTTTAATGAAGAGCTCTAAAACAATTTTCGCTTTGGGGGAGGTGAATTCTTTTATGAGGATCTAAGTTTGGCGACTTATCAACATTTTGGCGATTTTTAAGATAAGTTTCTATAGAAAATTTTAAATTCCAAGAGCGGGGAATTTTTCGGGATTTTTTTTAAACATCTAACATGATAAACTTTTAAAAAATGGATATATTGGAATTATATTTAAAAGTAATATATAATTTAAAATATTTTTCAATTTTTTTCATGGTAACAGTTTTCTCATGTAATGTCTCAGGTATCCGAAATTCTCAGAATATGCTCAGTTTTCTCTATAAAATTAATTAATTCACACACACTTTTTCATCTGATTTTTTTTTCAAAATATTTCTGGCTGTTTGTGTTACAAAACTGATAGGGGTATTTTTCTTCAGGACGTTAGACATTGACTTGGAAAGTTAGAAAGATTTGAAGGAAAGATTTATGGACCCACGATTCCATAATTTTAGAAAAATGTGACCAATGAAAAATGTCACTATGGTTATTAACCGTAATGGAGTTTTCGAACATTGCAATGAATCTACTTTTTTGGATAGTATCTGGAAGAACGACGAAACATATACTTGAATGTTTACTTCTGATAGTAGAATCTTTGTTCATAACATGCTTATCTTCCCTTATTCTCTACTTTTCACTAGACACAAGTATGGAAAATATTAAAAATGCTTCTAATCTTATACATGGACAGGCATTTAAGAAAGGAATTTTTTCATTAATAAAGAATTGAAAACTGGCATTTAAAAAATCATCTAATATGTCTTAAGCCATACACTGGTTGACGCTAGGCATTTTCCCACTAGTGCAATCACGGGGAATATTAAACCTCTGTGTAGATCCTAAATTTTGCTGACTAGTGCCTTTCTAAATTCTGCTTCCAGTGCCTGCTCTAATTTCTAAAAGTTTTGCCATTTCTACATTTTGTTGCTGGGTGTGTCACTAAATTCTAAAAATTCTGCCACACCAGCTCTGTAACCGGCCCTTACCATATATATTTCATATCTCTTATGAATAACTAACTAATATTACTAAAGAAATAAAATTAGCAGCTTTTTCTATACATTCTAAATGTTTTCAGCTTTTTTTAGAATAACAGAAATATTTAATTAAATCCAAAAGTTCTAAAATGAAAAGAAAATGTAGACAAAAGAAACTGAATGTATAAAATTATTCTTCAAAGATATGTACAGTTATTATTATGTAAATTACCCAGTTGTTTACAATTTCAGCTTTTACTCTAATTTCCCATTTGTATTTTTTCCCCAGAATGGGAATCACCTAGACATTTTTTAAACTGAGATGTTTGGAGTGTAAGACGAGTGTGTTTCTGACCTCCAGTTGCTCCTTGCATTAGTTCCTGCTGGCTCTGATAATTTGTAATTATTCATCTTTGCATTACTGCTGCCAACATTTGAATTTGTTATGACAGTAGAGTTACTTAGCCAGCTTAAAATTAAATTAAATTGTATAGTCTTTGACCACTAGTCCACATTTTTTTGTTTGAATTTGATTGTTCTTGTTTAATTACATCACCCCAAACTTTAATTGATTTGGTTAGCACAAGAACATACCTTTAAGTTCTTTTTAAATAAGAGGCTTATTTAAACCTTTGTCTGACTTTGTAGTTACTTTGAGACATAGCAATAATTTGCTTCACGTCTTTCGGGAGTTTTTGGATTATTTAACTTTTACCAGATCAAGTAAACCCTCATAGGTACATTGTGGAGAGGTTGACAATTTAGGAGATAAAGCACACAGAAACTAATGAGAACATTGGTTTGCATATTGAGAGGAATTTCTAATTCTTAGTAAAGATGCTTAAAGAGAAGGAAATCGATATAAATTAGCCAAAATGTCTGGCCAGGCTTCAAATTAAAAGAAGCATAAATATTTTGTTGAGTGTTGTTGCTATAAAACATAAATGTTTTGTAGCTTTTAATGTATAATTATCCTAAATATCATTGAAGAATCAATGACATAAATTGCATTTATTTTAAAGTGTGAAATTTTATTAAATTGTGATTTTAATAGGTACTTTTAATAGTATTGTTAAAAAATAGGTAAAATTTAATAGTGGTCATGTAAATCCATAATGATTAACGTTATCTAACTATCTACTTTAATTTATAATTAACTGCTTACCCTTAAAAATTATCTGTGCATATTAAAGTGAGTTATTGCCTTTCATTATTTCTTAGCGTGGTACAAGATAAAACACAAAAATGTAAAAATTCATGTAAAACTTATTCTTTGTATCTAGTGAGACCTAAAATAATACAAAGCAGCTTAGTGTTCACCTCTGGTGCTTTAGTGGCTTATTGGAACCTTAAAGTATATTAACTGAATTACATCCCTGGACTTACTGGAGCTCGACACTTGGAACTGGTTTTAATCCCTGGAACTCTACATGGAGCTACGACACATTAAAGTATATTAACTGAGTTTTAATCCCTGGAACTCTACATGGAGCTACGACACTAACTCCAACAGACAGAGCCCAACTAACTTTAAAAACTAGCTAACCGTGCCCACATTAGGCCTTTCACTTTTGTTCTGGTCTGCAGGTCTGTCTTTAGGCAAGGAACAGCTGTGACAACAGCCAGTCTTTTGTTATAAATCATTCTTATTATGATTTTACTTCTCATTTTAACATATGACGCTTGACATAAAATCTACCTGCTATTCACTAAACCTCTAGATGAGCAAGTAATGAGACATTAAAAAAAAAAAAAAAAAAAAAAAAATCCAACATGAAACGTAACTAACTAACTATTAGTAAAACATAAATAAAATGTCACTTATCTTCTTTCAAATATGCTGAACTATTATAAGTGTAAAATATATAATGCTGTTTGATAATTTCATAAAGTATATTTTTATACTCAACTTACTAATAATTATGTTAATTAAGTTATGTTTAATAATAATGCATCCTACATAGGGATCTATTTTATTTTTTGGATGGTATTACAAAAGTTCAGGCATAAATAGTATTTTTAATTGAAATTATTAATTTGCTATTTGCTCATAGGTCCTTAATTTTTTCATTAATGGTCCTTAAAAGTCCTTAATTTCCATGCATAGAAATGTGTACGAACCCTGTTAAAGTATAAAGTAGAACTTGAATTTGAAATGTTTCTTTTACTTGCACAAATTAGATTTTACAGGGTGACTCAAACCTAAAGGAACAGAATTCCAGGAGTAAGATACATCTAAACTGCTGGCCACCTTAAATGCAACACCCTAAAGCAAGCGTGCAAATAACATGAAATTTACAACATGCATTAGCAGAGCTGAGATATGCAAATGATTAGAATTTCAATCAGACACACATCACATGCACCTGTGGCGCCACTTCAAAGCATTATTTAAGGCTTGGAGATTTCAACGATTTCAAGTTCGGCAATTGAGTTTTTCTTTTTTTTTTTCAAAAAAATCATCAATTATGCCTCGTAGTAAACAGCGATCATTGTTTGATCAAGTATCCGAGTTCGACAGAGGAAGGATAGTAGCCTACAGAGAGTGTGGATTATCTTTCAGGGAAATTGGTAGTCGTGATGGTCCAAACAACTGTAATGCAGATAAGTGACCGTTGGATGCAGGAGGGTACGACGGACCGACATGTTCGATCGCATCCACCTCAGTGCACCACTTCACGTGATTGCAGGAACATTGTGGATGGCAGAGTGGAATGGAATTGTCTTTATTGATGCGTCACGCTTCTGTCTGCAACACCACAATGGTCGGATTCGAGTCTGGAGAGAGGATGCTGAACAACTGCGTAGTGTACCACCACACTGTTCCTGCACTGGATATTATGGTATGGGGCAGTATTGGATATCACTCTTGCACTCCTCTAATATGCATTGCCGGTACTTTAAACAGCCAGCGCTACACCTCCGAGGTGTTGGAGCCAGTTGTCCTTCCTTGCCTTCAGGGCTTTCCCACAGCCATATTTCAACAGGATAATGCGCGACCACACGTGGCACGCATTGTCCAAGGGTTCTTCGTCTATCGCCAGATTGAATGGTTTCCTTGGCCAGATCGCTCTCCGGATCTTTCACCGATAGAAAACATGTGGTCCATGGTTGCTGAACGATTGACCCAGATTACATCCCAAGCTGCCACACCAGATCAACTGTGGCAACATGTGGAAGTTGCTTGGTCTGCTGTACCCCAAGAACACATCCAAAGTCTCTTTGAATCAATGCCGAGGCGTGTGGCAGCGGTGATCTTCAACAATTGTGGCTACTCTGGCTATTGATTCTGGAAGGAACCACACTTCACAGAAGTCTATAAATTTAGTCATTTGATACTTGGTCAGCATGTTATCTACTAAATAAATTTTGTTGTGGTATCTCTTGTCTTTCTTGGTGTTGCAATTTGGGTGGCCAGCAGTGAATGACTCAGAATCCCATAGCAATGCAGGGTGAGAAATGCAATCCTAACAAAGTCAAGGGGGTGGTAGGAGTTGTTGCAGGAAAATCTTTGAGAGCTACTTGCAAAGGTCCCCCCCCCAAAAAAAAACAAGAAAATAATGTTTCAAAACAAAAGGAAACCAACATTAAACCAAGCTCTAGCCCAAAATAAAACTATTAGGATGAAAAATATGAATAGATAGTGATTGCAAATTTAC